TGGAAAGAGTATTCTCTTTTTTTGCAAAACGCATTCAGGATCAGTTTGTATTGGAGACATTTGAGAATCTGAAAAGAGCAGTTAAAGGAAGAAAAGATGTGACATCCTGGAGAATCCTTAAAATATCAAAAGTTTGATGGTTGTTAGAAAGAAATAAAAGCCACATAGGCACTGACTCCGTGAGTGCTCTGGGACTGTAGCACCCATAGGAAAAAAACAGTGGATGCTCAGCACCCACCAGTGGCCACGCTGATCAGCTCCTCCACCTTCCCCCAGCGCCTCCCGCCAGCCAGTGGGCCCTGCCGATCAGCTCCTTCCCTCCTTCCCAGCTCCTCCTGCCTGCCACGGATCAGCTGTGCTGGGGGCGGCGGGGCAGGAGGTGCTGGGGGCGGAGGGGACAGAGCAAGGGCAGGGCACACTTGGGGGAAGAGGCGGGGTAGAGGTGGGGCCTTGGGGGAAAGGGGGTAGTGGGGTGGGGCTTGGAGCAGAGCAGGGGTGGAGTACCCCCTGGGGAAATTAGAAAGTTGGCTCCTCTGAAAAGCTATACCTGCATCCAGGAGACCGGGGAGTGAACGGCCCATGAGTAAGCTGGGAAAAAATCAAATTCTTCGTAGCAGATAAATATGCAGAATGCAAAATATTATTTATGTTGCATCCTTTGTTCAAAATATGATCAAATCATTTACAGTGAGAGAGCGAGTAGAGAGACCTTTGTACAGATTTTAATGCGCTGATGTGCATATTAATAGGAAAGGAAACATGCTGCACTGAAAGTGATTGGAGCAAAAGAAGAGAATTGCAATATGAGCATGTAAAGTGTCATTTAAGAGCTAATTATGATTATTAAATATTAATAATGTAAAATATTGCTGCAAAATGCATGGTCTTTATTATGGAAGTGTCAGTAGTGAGTCCATAATTTGGGTTATGTAGTGATTTGCACGTAAAGCAGCATTAAAATCCTCCTTTTTTTGTTCATTATACTGTATAGCAAGAAGTTGTGATGGGTGTTTTTCTTGAAAGACTTGGGAACATTTTTGGTGGGCAGGTGAGGAATGGAGTTTGTTCATTGCAGGAAAAAAAAATTGTGATTCTTTATTTATAGTATATGTGCCTTGATATCATGGTGATGGGCACGACGGAAATTCCTTGTTAGAGATGCAATTTTTCTTTTATCTAGACAGCAACTTAACTTGACCGCCGTTATTAATGACCTGTTGTCATGTGTTATATCCTTTCTATTTTGTTGTTTTATTTAGTGTTTGTGGGGTTTATATATTTGATGGATTTATATATGTTGATTCCTTTGGAAGCTTTTCAATAATCTACTGAATGTAAAGCAAGGAAATCCTGTGATTTTTGTCATTTTCTTACGAACAATATTGCTACTAAAAGATTCTTCTTCTCTAGGGTGACGTTAGAACAGCATTAATCAAGCAATGGTTTATCTTTGCAATATGTCCTGGAAGTGCCACGATAGTGAGCTGTATGTATGGAATGATGTCATCACCAGTTCCCTTCAGGCCTTTGAACATCCCTGAGATTTGATATTTCTACAAATTTCCAAACTTATTTGGCCTATTTTTTTAAAATAATCATTCTTATGCCTTTTGCTACTTGAGTCTTTGTGTAGGTAACGTTACTGACCAACTAGTCTAGTAATGATCACAGAGGAGGGCCTATACAGGTTCAGAGAAACCTATATTTTTGTCAGTTCTTTGGGCTATGTATAGGAGAAACAGAATCCAAAGAGCTTTCTGACTTTGTCACTGAGCAACCATGCACCTTGTTTTGTCACTTCCAGATACAAAAATGTCCTAAGGCACATTCAGTACTGACTGAGTCATCCATTTGGTAGAATCTGAGGACATGTTGCGGATATCAATATCAGACCTTGTCAAGATTCATAGCACTGAGTCATTGCTACGGGTCTGAATTACTAATTCATGATGTTAGTAGGACCGTCGTCTTTGATGCTGCAGTGACGAGAGGGATGCTGAGGGGAAAGACTGTTCTCAGAACTGAGTACTCTATGGAGCTATGTTATTACTGGATCTGTGGTCATCACATCTGGCAGGCTTTCTTTGATGCAAAAAGTGGGTATTGCTTTGCTTACCTTCCCAAGGTAAGTATTCTGATACTAGATACAATGATGCAGCGAGGACGAATCTGAATGTAAAATATGTAAAACCAAAATAAGTTCTCATATACTTTCTTTAGCTTGTGATGCAATAAGTTTGAATTATTTCATGCTTCAGTTCTTTAATGAGGAAGCACTGTTCGGAGCCTGGTCACTGACACCAGGGAATTGGTATGAAGCACAAACCACATTGCAGAATTCTTTGTGCACAATTTGAGAGTGAGAACACAGCATATAATGGGTTTTAGTGTAGCACTTAGGCAGTTGTCTTTCTATTTACAGCATATATGAACATTTTAAAGAGGTGGACAGAGAGTTAAATATTACTGGGAGGGGCATATACTGATGTCTCCCTGCCCTAGTGCAGTAACTCCCAGCTGGGGTGGATTTGTTGAGGTGGAGTTTCCATGTATCTGTTGCACTGGGAAAGGGTCACTTGTCAGAGTAAGTATAAGAGGGTTGTTCCCCTTCCCTTTCTCACCATCTTTTTGCTTCTTTTGACTCTCCTCAGGAGAGAGAAAAAGTTGGTCTCTTGATCATCCAAGCTTTATTTACATCAAACATACTTTTCTGAATTGTGAGTAATCCGCAGTCCATAGCAGCTAAAGAAATATAAAGGGTCTGAACATGGGAATGCAGCTCATAGGTCAATACATTTCTGAAAAGGAGGAAGATGAGAGGATGACTTTAGGAGATGTAAATAGCACAGTAGAAAGACATAAAAATTAATGGCTGGATCCATTTCTTAATATGCTTTTATACGTGATTCAATCAGTGGAAGAGGAAAGAAGGAAAATGCAATATAGCAGCAGTGCTAAAACTGTAAATCACTTCAGAATCACAGAGCATGACAAGCTGAGAAGGCTAATGGTGTCTTCCAGAAAGAATTTACTACAGTAATCAGAAAAGAGAGCAAGATAAGAAAAAACCCTAAGACCAAAAAGTGAGTACAATCTCTCATGTTTTACTTGCTAGTAGGGTAACTAACGTGAGATCCTTTGCACTAAGTGATGGTGCTAAGTGTCTGCTGAGCCACAAATCATTTGAGTGTTTGTGAACATTTCTATGGCTTCTTACTGTGTGGTTAAAGCTTGCATAATGCCTACATGGAATTTCTTTGTAAATCTCCTTTGAAACATCTGTCGGGAAAATGTTCACATTGTGCCTTCCTTAGAGATTCACTGTAAAACTCTCAAAATCTCACTGATGTCACTGATTTTTATGAAAGGAGAAAAAATAAATTGTCTGGCCATAAATATTTTAAGATGATCAAAACCAGTTACAGTTGTACATGTGCAACTTTCTCAAACGCATGAGCAGCCAAATTAGAGGTAAAGATAGGAACAAATAAGTGACTGTAAAACTGAGGGGGAATTCTAACAAGCAAGCAAATAGGTGGTCATGAAGGACAGGGAATGAGGAGAAACAGTAATGAAGGAACGTGGAAGCATCAATGACATGTTATTAACAATACAGCTACAGCTCTGGCTGGTTCATCTTGTTTAAGCTTTGAAAAGCAAATACTTGGGGGTAAGATATAAATTTGATAGATCTTATAGACCAGCCTATTTATTACAACCATTTGCATGACTTCCACCTTTAGTTACCCAGACTCCACGGGGATAGGTAGGTTTCCCCACTGCATGTTTTTGTATGCTCTGCCCCTTGCTAATCTCAGCTGCTCCCACAGTTTGTGCTACCACCTTTATGATGACATCTTGCAAATCAACTGTGCCGCTTCATTTCTGACCTCTCGAACTCTGTCTAATCTTGCATGTCTACCTGCCTTTCAACTGATTCACTGTGGATACCGCTCCACCATCCCCCTTCTTGATATTGCTAAAATCTATTCCTCCTTCATTTCAACAACCTAAAACCCTAAACCACACCTAAATTATCTCTTGTCTTGACTGCTGTAATCTCCCACTTTCTGGCCTTTTGGGCCTTTTACCTCTCCAGTCTATTAAAAAAAGCTGCAGCTATAATCTTCCTTTACTGCCCCCAGTTGTCACCTTTTCCCAATCTCGGCTGACCAGCTAAATGCCTGATCCCTTCCTGGCTTGTATTGTGTCTGTCCAAGATAGACTATAATTTCCTTGAGGTGTGGAGCTGTCTTACCTATGTTCTGTGAAGTTCTATCCGCACCACCACCACCCGCCCCAACTGGACTTCTATAAACAATAATTTTGTAAAAGTCTTCTATCTAAGGAGAAGTTTCTGGCTTATGAATAATAAAATTTACAGTACTTTGACCCTAGATATTAGTTTGTGATATTAATGAAAACTGGCATATTTTGTCTTGCAATAGGGCCCTAGGTTACCCATGTGACTGTGGACTCTCCCCAGCATTAGGGAAACGCAGTGGAATATGGTTTTGAGTATTAAGACTGCCGATTATAAGGCGTGCAAATTATGTTTATGTGGATGTGCTAGCTGCCTGACAGAAAGTTAGCCATACACTTAGAGACTGGTGGTTTCTATTTCAGTAGCTTGCGTTATTACGACTCTGTCTTTGCTCCCGATGAATAGCCTGTGGTTCTTTGTAAGAGACATGCTTTTCAGTTAACTGAATTATTATCCTCCTCCCTTGTAACCTAAAAACAAAAAGATTTGAAATACACACTACACCTGGTATTGGCTTTAAATAGCCCTATGGATTCTGTGAGTTTTGAATTTGAATGAGAGGTCCTGAATATACTTCATTGTTGGCTGTCTAACTTCTGTGCCGGTGCTCTTTGTCTGCCTTAGGATCTGCACAGTGCTGCACGCTGTGTTAGCAATGGCTGCAAGTGTGGACAGATAGATGAGTGCAAGGAATTCTGGGCAAAGGCAAATTTACGATATGTGTAACACTTGATGAATTTGGAGATGGAAGAAATTTTCAGGGGAGAATTTATGTAAATATACTTTGTGGTTAAATTATGAGAAACAAAGTGAGCATGTCAATCAAGGAGGCAGTAGACAGAGTACTTTTGTGAATGAGTGGGAATGCTGGGGAAGATCTGACTCACAAATAACCTCCCTGGAGTACTTTAAAAAAGGATGCATTCTCTACAGTGCATTGTCTCTGGATTCTTTCTAGCCTCATTGTGGTATGAAGATGGTACCTATATGAGACCATAATTCTATCTGTAGCCTTGATGCCAATGTGGTTGAAGCGGAAACAAGAGGGAAGGTGGGAGGATACAATTAAAGTGTTTTGTATCCAAATCCTGTATGTTGCATGTAGAAATGCAAGTTACACCGGTAGGATGCGCGATCGTTTTTTCCGTAGCTCTCTGATCTGAAGAAAATTCAAGAGCATTTCAGAGGTTCGGTGATGAGTGGCTGTAGTGTTTCAGTTTGTAAAATGTTGCTGATGGCAGTTTTGTTTTCTAATCACTAGGTCCAGAAGATGGAATAGTAATTTCCCCATCCAGCGAGCTGGGGTCCTTTTTTGCCTCTGCATGCAATGTTTGGACTGATCTGAAGCTTTCGTTTTGGACTGAAGGGACTTGTCCACTGCTTGCCCTGGAAACCTTTCTCTCCTAATTCATGAGCCAGCAGGATGCGGTCGCCGTGCTTTCAGAACGCCTTCTCATAGCTGCGTACAAAGGCCAAGTGGATAATGTGGTGCAGCTTATCAACAAGGGTGCCAAGGTAGCAGTTACCAAGGTAACAAGAGAAAAACTCTTTACAAATTCCTTGGGAACTAGTGTAACTCCGAAACCATTGTCTGTGATAATGTTCTTGTTACTTTACAAATTTAAACATATGCGGGGGGGGGGGGGGGATTAGAAGTGTTTTGATTTTTCTTTAAATCTGCATTTATTAGCCAGCATTAACATGAAATAATACATTTATTTTCCTTCTCTGCTTCCAAGAAGGGGAAAATACAGAGCATCACTGCATACTGGACCTTGAAAAATGTGCTGTGCTGGATGCCTGTGCAATGACATTTTTAAAATGTGCTTTGACTTTTGAGGAATGAACATGCTTTTAAATAATGACAGGTTTCAGAGTAGCCGCAGAAAGAAAAGGAGGACTTGTGGCAACTTAGAGACTAACAACTTTATTTGAGCAGAAGCTGTTGTGAGCTAAGCATCCGATGAAGTGAGCTGTAGCTCACAAAAGCTTATGCTCAAATAAAGTTGTTAGTCTCTAAGGTGCCACAAGTCCTCCTTTTCTTTTTGCTTTTAAAATTCATCACCATAGAGGAGAAAATTGGTGGGGAAGGGAAATCTTGAGGCTCTGCAAAAAGTTCAGGGTATCCTTCAGAGAGGAAGGAATAAAAGCTACCTATTCTTGTAAGATAAAGGTACCTGAGCTGTAATCATGTACTGTTCCTTAAGAGAAAGGTCCTTTGATAGTATGGGCTAAACTCTGGCTGCACTTAATGTGCAATCTCAGTGCAATTCCAAGGTTGAGGATTATAAACTTCATTTTCTATTCCAGGGTTGGAAAGTCAGGATTTGGCCCATTGTATCAAAGGACTTATAACAACACTTATAATGAGATTTAAAAAAGAATGCAATTGAAATGAACCGACTGCCAGCTCTAACCATGTTATAAATAATATTTGCAAATAGTGCAGGTGACCTATGAAAAATTGCTCAGTCTGAGAGCTAAATATAGAAGAGTTTGAATCTGAACACAAATAGGCCTGAAATGATTTTTCTCAATATTTGTTAATCAAATCTGAATGTGAGAGGAATACGAATGGAAAATGGTGTTTTCTCCCTCGCTCCCTCTTTTTTTATTTTATTTTAAACCACAAAAACTTGGAGAAAAGAAAAGGAGTACTTGTGGCACCTTAGAGACTAACCAATTTATTTGAGCATGAGCTTTCGTGAGCTACAGCTCACTTCATCACGAAAGCTCATGCTCAAATAAATTGGTTAGTCTCTAAGGTGCCACAAGTACTCCTTTTCTTTTTGTGAATACAGACTAACACGGCTGTTCCCCAAAAACTTGGAGTACTCCCATCCTCCTCTGAAGTTTCCTAGTGGTCACCATATAAATCACAAGCCAAGATTCTCTGTGAAAAAGTGTCATTAACATTTAAAAGAAAAACATTTCTAGGAGCTGAAGAGAAGACATACAACCAGCCCTTCAGGGGTTTTTACCTCACACTTAGTGATGTGTGAGGAGATGTTTTATTTGAATAGGTCAGTGGCTGCCTGTGAAGGAGCTGACTGCATCTCCCACCCCAGCAACTAATTTTGCATACAGTTGGTTGTCACTGGAACCTGCTTTGCTTGCTAATGAGGCTTGCCCCTAGCTTTCTACTGCCTATTCACAAAGCTAGTTAGGATGTTGCAGGACTGCGTGTAAGGCAGGAGCCATGAGAGAGGGAGAGAGAGGGAGTGGGTGGGTGGGAGAGAGAATGTGACAGAGTGAGAGATGGAAAGGCTGGTCTGTGGTCTGCTACAGAATTTTAAAACTATACAAATTAGTTGGGGAGGTGGAAGTGGGTGAGGTTAGACCTGCAAGGTCTATCAGATCTGGGAAAAGCTTAGTATTTGGCAAAATGCTGCCCTGAGGCATATTTAGTTTTAATTACGTTCATGGATCAATTGAGAACACAAAATTTGACTGTGAATATTAGCCTCCACAACACAGCTCTAAGGGCTGTCGGTAGGTTTTAAACAGAAAATGTGAATACATTAGATAAGGTGCAGAAATGGATTGGAATGATCTATCAATGACACCTGCTTTTTGAGATGCTCCCTTTGCCGTGTTTGGATCATAGTTATTTATTTTTAAAGCCAGAGTGCCCTGTGGGAAAATCAGTTTTACAGGGTTTTTTCCTGTTTATTGACCACAACCAGATGGCCTCTTGTTGATATGGTGACACTCAGTGCAGAGGCCATAGTCATAACAAATGTAAAAAGCTGTAGTAAAATTCTTCCTTTGACTCTGTTGTCCAAGCATCTCTGCTTGTCATGATCTGTCTAAAGAAAGATATTTGAATGGTGGTGGGATTTTTAATAAGAGGACTCAACTTTGGATCTGTAGTGTGCCCTGATGGTAAGGAAAGTATTAAAGGAACAGCAGGCACACTACACACTCTCATCCCCACTATAATTTTGAATGCAGGTTCCACATAGTGTCAACTGAAAAATCCAGTGCTCTGCATTATAGATTCCAGTGTAACCATGGAGCTGATTTAACTACTCCATCAAATTAGTTAATGTAAACTATGGTTCTAATGTGAGATCAGTAGATAATGACTTGGTACCGATATAGTCTAACTTTGAATTATTGACAACTTCCGTTTGTTACAATGAGTGCAATGGAAGTGCAAATTATGACCTGACCCTGAATATATGTTTGATTTATTACTGAATGTTCGTGATGGTGATAAAATCTGTTGGATGTCTCAGTCCACCAAAAAAATTCAATTTGTTTTGGAGTACAAGTTCAGGTTGATTCTAGAGCTAAGTAAAATTCAGCAAATTTCATTTGCAGAGGATCATATATATTTTAGATCCATGTGGCTTCATATCCTCCCCATTTTATTTGTTTTCCACATTTGAATGGGCCAACAATCTCAAAGCAAAAGTCAGTCAACCACGAACTGTTGATTTTGCAACAAAACTATCCCAAGGTGCAAACTTCTATATCAGCCCAGGTTCACAAGAAAGGTCTGTGAACTTTTCTGTGAACTTAGTATGAGTTTGGAGTTCATAACAAATTATGAAGCATGGTGAGTTTCACATGGCATGAGTTACAATGTGAACTTTAGTTGGTGCTTACTGTTTATCCCAAGTGGCACATCACTCCATGACTATTACTGATTTAAATTTTTCAAACCTGCGTAATAAAAATAATAAAATTTAATAGCTGATTGTTCTAGTATGACTGAAACACAGATTCTCTCTTCTTCCTCCCTAACAGAAAAGTCTTTACAAAACTAACCATAAATAAAGATCTGTTTATTCAGATCTGTATTTTATGCCTGATCTGTACTCTACATCTTTTATTTATATCTTCATATATATATGATATATGATATCAAGATATATCTTTATATCTTATATCTTCATAAATGATCTGGAGGATGGTGTGGATTGCACTCTCAGCAAATTTGCGGATGATACTAAACTGGGAGGAGTAGTAGATACGCTGGAGGGGAGGGATAGGATACAGAAGGACCTAGACAAATTGGAGGATTGGGCCAAAAGAAATCTGATGAGGTTCAATAAGGATAAGTGCAGGGTCCTGCACTTAGGACGGAAGAACCCAATGCACAGCTACAGACTAGGGACCGAATGGCTAGGCAGCAGTTCTGCGGAAAAGGACCTAGGGGTGACAGTGGACGAGAAGCTGGATATGAGTCAGCAGTGTGCCCTTGTTGCCAAGAAGGCCAATGGCATTTTGGGATGTATAAGTAGGGGCATAGCGAGCAGATCGAGGGACGTGATCGTTCCCCTCTATTCGACATTGGTGAGGCCTCATCTGGAGTACTGTGTCCAGTTTTGGGCCCCACACTTCAAGAAGGATGTGGATAAATTGGAGAGAGTCCAGCGAAGGGCAACAAAAATGATTAGGGGTCTGGAACACATGAGTTATGAGGAGAGGCTGAGGGAGCTGGGATTGTTTAGCCTGCAGAAGAGAAGAATGAGGGGGGATTTGATAGCTGCTTTCAACTACCTGAAAGGGGGTTCCAAAGAGGATGGCTCTAGACTGTTCTCAATGGTAACAGATGACAGAATGAGGAGTAATGGTCTCAAGTTGCAGTGGGGGAGGTTTAGATTGGATATTAGGAAAAACTTTTTCACTAAGAGGGTGGTAAAACACGGGAATGCGTTACCTAGGGAGGTGGTAGAATCTCCTTCCTTAGAGGTTTTTAAGGTCAGGCTTGACAAAGCCCTGGCTGGGATGATTTAACTGGGAATTGGTCCTGCTTCGAGCAGGGGGTTGGACTAGATGGCCTTCTGGGGTCCCTTCCAACCCTTATATTCTATGATTCTATGATTTACATTTGTCAGTTTTTGCTGTCAGAGTTGACATTACATTCTATAAGATTTACCCTTAAAGGAAATTACAATCAGGGGCCCTGATCTTGTCCTCTTACCCAGGAAAAATTCCTCTTGAAGTCAACAAGAGTTTTCTTGGAGTAAGAAGTGCAGAAGCAGACCCTCAGTTTGGAGGAAAAGGAAAAGTTCTGTTGTACTTTAGGACACCAAATCGATTGCAAATGTGTGCTGGGAAGTGTAGCTGGCTTCACAAAACACTATACAGAACTATGCATGCCTGAAGTAGCTGGGCTCTAGAGCAAGCTATTTGTCTAGAAATTCTTTATAGTTCTTTATCCTCAGTTGATTTATTGGGCACCAGTCAAGTAAAAGTGAGACTTGTTTACCTTTCAAAACCAAGTCATTTAAAATGCTGGCAATCCAATCCAATTCTCTTATCCTAAAAATGAAAGGTCACATGATGTGTTCATCGCTGCTTCAATAAACAAGAGTTTTATTGCAAAATGCTGTTTTAGTTTAGACTGCTATGTCTATATGTAAAGTGCTGTTTGCATTGGCTAGATGTTTGCATAGTATGAATAAAACTAAAGAAAGAAAATTCAATATAATTTTCATTAACGCTGAAATGCCCACTTCAGTGTTTGCTCAAAGATTTTTTTATTGTTTGTTTTAGTCAGATTAGTAATTGTGTTCAGCTGAGACTGTCAACTTCCATTGAAGTCCATAGGAGTTGCATGCATACAGCACCTCCACTGAAGTCAATAAGAGTTGAGGGCACTCAGAATCTTTTCAGGTTTTATATTTAAAATATAATAGGACAGCCCTGAGCCATATGTTCCTCCCCTTTTTCTACTTCCCTGGGCTTCATTACCTGTTACTCTGGCTCTTCACTGAAGCACTGTAAATGGTGCTTTCCAAGTGCCATGGTTTGGATATTTCTGCAGCTATTGTGCAGTAATTATTAAATTGTAAAACCTACCTGTAATGGGTTTGGGCCCTTTGGGGTGTCACCTCATGTGCTGGGATTTAATTGAGTCAGACTGTTCTGCCAGCCTGGGTCCCCTTTACCTGGCCTTGCTGGGTGAGGCTCACAAGCCTTTTCCAACCAAGCACACAGGCAGGGCCACACCCAGCTGCACAGAGAAACAGAGATCTGCTTTGGAATGATTCAGCCTCAGGGGCTTGCCCCAACACCCTGCTGTCCATTCCCTTTAAGGGGTACAAACCAAAAGGTTTTATAAATTTGCCCCCTCCCTCAGTGTGGAAGGAGATATGCACAACTTCTTGCAGCCCCCCCACCATTAGAAATTACAGAAACTGGTTCTGATAATAAACAAAACAAATTTTATTAACTACAAAAGTGAATATAAGAGATAATAGACAGAACAAAGCAGATTACTGACCAACTAAAGCAAAATCCGCAAGCTAAGCTCAATATACTTAAGAAACAGCTTACAAAATGTAATTTCTTATCCTAAATATTATTTTAGGCAGGTTGCAAAGTTTCTGTGGTTCAGAGTTCCAGTTATATTTTCAGACTGGACACCTATCTCAGTCTGGACTCCCCCCTTGCCTTCCCTTCAGGTTGCTTTAGCAGTCTCTCTTCTTGGGCAGACAGGCCATGAAGAGGAGGAGCTCCCTTTGCCTTATTCCCCCTCCCCCGTTAAATAGGATTTGTTTCCCAAACTTGACCCCCCCCCTTCCCTTCCAGTGGAAAGTTACAAGAAGTCCTAGGTAATGTTTAGTATCAGGTGACAAGACCACCTGACCTAGTAGTGTCACAGCATCCATGAGTCAGTGGCAGTATGGAGCATTGGCAGGAAGGCCAAGCCTTTTCACAGTCCATTGTCCTCGCTGATGGGCCAGCCGCCCTGTCTGGCTTTTCCATTGTAGTACTTGAAGTGTTAGCAGTGGGCATCACCCAAAGCAGCATAGTTGAAATACAGATACATAGTCAGTATTCCTAATTTCAGATACAGAAATGATAAAGGAATACAGATTGGATAATCACATTCAGTAAATCATAACCTTTCCAATGATATCTCACATGAGCCATCTTGCATAAAATATATCTCAGTTATGTCATATTCATATCATAAGTATATTTTCATAAAGAATATGGAGTGAAGTGTGTCACTACCATTCCCACTTTACATTACAATTATTATTGTGCTGCTGGGAAGTACACATACCAATTATGCTAATCCTGCAAAGGAGCAGTCACCACAAATGGTGAGCTGCTACCACAGAGCAAAAATCAGAGAACCGGCTGGAACAGGGTAGAGCTAGGAATCAATAGTTCAAACAGTCTCTGAGTTCATAAGGGAACAAAAATACCCCTCTTTTACAGGTACACATCAATAGCCCCACCCCTGGTCCCAGCCAGCACTTACTTCATGACAATTCTTTCCCCTTGACCCTCATAAGATTCTATTTGTATTGTTGCCCTTTTTGGCCTGAGTGATTAGCCAATATTCTGGGCCGTGACGGGTTGTTTCTGTTAGCAGGAGAAACTGATGATGCAAGTCAGGTACTTCTGTAATTCAATCCTGTGTATCTACAAAAATGTACACAAAGCCCTGATTCCTTGAACACAATAGAAACAAACAGCAGCAGGCAGTTTCCTTGCTCAGCAATCCAACTCGATCGCCCCTGTAGGACGGGTTTAGGTATATTTGTGTGGCAGCATGGGGAATGCCACTGAGTGTGCGTCACCTGCTCTGGGAATAAATACAAGACTTCAGCCTTCAGGACCTTCAGTCTTTTCATGAGCTACTTTTTGAGTTTAAAAAATAAATCCATCAATCTGAAAATGTGGGCTGTTTGATCCAATAGACTGGGTCATTTAAAAATAATTGGCTGCCAAAATTGAAAAAAAAAACCCAACCCTGCTCAGTTAAACTCTTAAATGATACTATATTCTGCCTTTTCTCCCCAGAGTTAGGGAGTAGTATTCACCTTCATTTTAAATTTCCTGCCTTTTTCTCAGTTTGTGACACAACTTTCTTTTGGGAAAGTTACTAATGGATGAATGTTTTAAATTGAAGTTTTATTTCTCTTTGATTAGGCATGAGTGAATTCTGTAAGTATATTTAATTCTTGCTATGATTTAATTAGTGTTCTGTGTCCACTTATGATTGCTGCTGTTATAGCTGCCGCATGGAGCAACAGCTAGAGTATCACTTTCAAAGGCCTTTTTTGTTTGCAACTATGTTCAGCTTTGGATGGACATTGTGTAGTGAAGGAAGCTTGGCTGTGTAGGTGTCTAGAGACAGCCTGTCTTGTACAGTGCATGAGATGACCTTTCCTTATTGAACACTGAGGATACAAATAAATATTGAACAGCTCTCCCCTCTGTGGAGCACCATGTGACCTGCTCACTGAATGAGACAGTGAACTGGCAGAAATAATAATATATTGTCTTGTAATTAAAGAATGTGTCGTAGTGAATGTGCACCTAGGGCAAAGGGAAGGATATGCAGTCAACCCTAACGTTGGCATTTTCTGACTTGAGTGCTTTCCATAGCAACCTTAATGCTGTTCTAACATTTTTTTTACTTTTATTAATAGTAATAATTACTATTTAGCATTTGTAGCTGGTGTCATGGGTAACTTGGATGCTCCTCAGAAAGAGGAGAGACATACTGCTAACTCTGAGAGTTTACAGTTTACAATTCTGCAAATTCTAACTATTAAGTGTAGTTCCTATGACTGTGAGCCCATTGAAGTCACGGAAATATTCTTTTTTATGCCAGTGTGACTAATCACAATAGTTGGGACTATGCTGTGTAATAAGTGTTTGGAGGATGAGGCCCAGCGTTAGCTGAGACATGACATCAGGGAGATGTACTTCTAAACTTTTGAGGTGGCTTGTTTTCACTGGTTGTATTGCAAAAAAAGAGTAGTTGTTTGTCATGCTGTGATGCATGACTAGAAAGGGTTAAGCATCCCGCTAAATAAATAACCCTCAAAAGACATGTGAGGAGGTAATGATTGTGTTTTTGTGTATTTACATATATATGAGTAGGGTCCGACAATGTAATCAACAGTCCCTGTATATGCTGTAATTCTGATAATTCAGAGGTCAAAAGAACATCCTATCATTTAAATGAATTGTAAACACGGGATATCTCAGTATTCATCTCTCTTTGAAATGTATAGCAAACAGGGTGGATATAATCAATTTTTTTATTTAAATAGGTTTTTTCCTCAAAAAGCATTTTTATGAAAAAAAAAACAATCCTAAAGATAGTTTTAATTAAGATACATTATAGCTCAAAGATATCTCATTATGGAATAGGGATTATAAATTCTAATTCCATAGTATGAGACAATATATTCATGTAATGTTTAAAAAAAATTTTGTAAATGAGTTACAATAGTTCATGGATTAGGGACCCAATCTGATGGGGTTCCAGGGGCTACTGTATAGATTATTTAAGTTCATCTTTCTATCTACCCAATGGGACTCAGTGCTCAGTCTGGAAGATACCATGAGAGATGCTTAGTTTTGCAGTTCTCAAAGTGTGGATTTGTGTCTCCAGAGATAAAATGCTTGTTAACAGCAAAAATGTTTTTCAATAAATAAATAATATATAGAGGTGAGAAATAACAGACCTCAAACCTATTGTTCCTCTGCAAATTTGTGTACACAAAGTCAATCCCTTATCTCTTTCTAAAAGTGCAAAGTTTCAAAAAGTTCAATGAATAGAAGATTGTTGGGGGCGGAAGAGATCTGGACAAGGAGAAGAAGTCTGGAGATAAATGTGAGAAGTGAGGGACAGGCAGTAGAAACAAAAGGGAAACTGTTTGAGCAGCATATTCCAGAAGTCTTGAGGTCTTTCTGAGGGTAGCCTTCATTGATTTGAGATCTACCATACCATCCTCTCACTAGAAGGGAAAACCTATAATGCCAGCAGGCTGTAAAAGAGACCCAGTTCGGGAATATTTTAATGAAGTTCCTCTACCTGTGGATAAGACAGGCATGCATGCAAAATGCAAACAGTGCAGCAAAGAAATGCAAGGCCTGGTTACCCAAATGAAACAACATCATGAGAAGTGTTCCTTCTCAGGAGGATGCTGCCTTGAAGATGATGAAAGGAACGTGTCAGAATATGCAGGATCTTCAGGTTGGTAAACTTTTTTATTTCATAATTTATCCTTAAGGACTGCCTGTCTTCCTTCTGGGCTATTCTTGAATTCTCATGTTTGAGCAAAAAATATAGTTGTTACTCTCTGGTACTATCTGTTTAGATGCAGTTGTGATAAAAAATAAATAGCTGAAATAAGCAGATCTTCCTTTTATAATTTCACCTTTAAAGTAGTATTGAGTGTCAATGAATGCAATGAGTAATACTAAATGAGCAGTATGGTATTAATAAATAACTGCATTGACTTATTTTGTTTAGGAGAAACCATCCGCAACATACAATTCTGAAGACTATCCACCTTCAAGATGACCATTGTTTTCTATAGTTTCAGAGTTATCTGCCAATGATAGTGTTTCAGTCACATCATGTATGTCACATAGCCACAGTATATCACCTGTAGCAAAAAGAAAAAAACCCTCCATCATTCAGAAACAACCATAGATAAGTTTGTGATAAGAACCAGCAGATGACAAAAAAAGGTAATTGATGAAAAAATTACCCAGTTTGTTTATGGAACAAACTCTCCTTTTCATTTGATTGAGAACCCACACTTCATTAACATGGTTCAGTCATTAAGACCAGGATACAGTCACCCAATGGAACAAATGTCTCAGGCAAATTGCTGGATAAAGTGTATGAAAGAGAAATTGAGCAGTGTTGCAAAAGGTATAGAGGGTGAAATTGTAAACCCGAGTCTTGATGGGTGGAGCAGTCTCCACAATGATCCTGTTGTATGTGCTTGTGTGACAACAGAAGAAGGGAATGTCTTCCTTACAGAAACAATTTATAGATCAGGAAATTCACACACAGCAGAGCACTTACAAAAAGTAGCAGTAAAAGCTATAACAAACTGTGAAAAAAAGTTCAAATGTCTAGTACACAGCTTGGTCAGACAATGCTGCAAATGTATCCACGATGTGAAGAAATTATTTAGAAGAGAGTGAAGACATTGCCAAGCTAATAACATACGGTTGCAGTGCTCATTTGATGCACCTCCTAGCCAAAGACTTCAGTGTTCCAGAAATAAAGGCGAATGTTGTTGAAATTGCAAAATACTTCCATAACAACCACTTTTCAGCAGCTGCTCTGAAAAAAGTGGGAGGAACCAAGCTAACTCTCCCAGAAGACGTGAGATGGAACTCAGCAGTGGACTGTTCTGAGCACTAGATCAAGAACTGGCCTAATCTGATGACAGTTTGTGAACAAAATCCTGAAAAATAGATGGCACTGTCACAGCCAGGGTTCTCAACATTGGGCTTAAGAGACATGTTGAACACATGCTGAGTCCCCTGAAGCCTATTTCTGTAGCCTTGAACAAAATGCAGGGAAATCGCTGTTTTATTGCTGACGCTGTTGAAATTTGGAAGGCACTGAGTGAGATCTAAAAAGAGAAATATGCAAGGACAGAGTTAAATTACAAGCATTTAAAAAACGAATGGGACGAGCACTATCTCCAGCTCATTTTCTTGCAAATACTCTCAATACTCAGTAACAGGGTTAAACCTTAACTGCTGAAGACAAGGAGTTGGCTATGACATGGACATCCAGCAATCATCCCTCCAGAATGCCAACTATAATAAACTTCAGAGCTAAGGGTGAACCATTCAAGAAATCTATGTTTGCTGATGATGTTTTAAAGAAAGTCACACCAGTGACTTGGTGGAAGTCACTTAAGCACTTGGATTCAGAGACTGTTGAAGTGATAATCTCACTTTTAACAGCAGTAGCTTCTTCTGCCGGTGTAAAAAGAATATTTTCTTCCTTTGGACTAATTCATTCCAAATTGAGAAATCGTTTGGGACCTGAAAAAGCA